TATTTTTACTGTAGAAAAAAAACCCTCTCTCTCTCGCCCGAAATTTCTTTCAGATCCGCCTTCCTCGGCGGATCCACCGGGCACCATGACGGAGGACGGCCCCCAGGCCTCACGATTCGACCCCTATTTATGTTAAAGACTGATTTCTCGATAGGTGGAGCTCGATTGGCCGTGACCGAAAGGATCTCGCGACTCCATGGCTGCCTTCTCGGGGAGTTGATCGTCGAATTCCTTGGTCGAGGAGTGGCGAGCTGCTGTGCTGCTGCGGGGTTGGGTGGTGGTGTCGGCAGCGTGGTGTTGGTGTCGACAGGGGATGGTGGCTTTTCCCTTTGGTCTTCTTCTTCTATGGTGCTTGGGAGGAGAGGACGGTCGGCGTGTCGAGCTTGAGCCGTGATGTTGGTCGGGCTTGGAGGGGTGGTGGAGTGTTTGGGGATTTGCCGTTGTCCCTCGGTTGAAGGGTCGGGGTCGATTGTCGGGTGCGGGATTGGGGTTCGTGTTTCCGATCTGGTTAGGCGTGAGTTGCAGTTTCCAGGGGTCTAATTTGGTGGTCGGCCGGTGGTGTCGCTGTTATGGCTTGCTTGGTGCGTAGTCCAGCTGCGAGAAGGGCAGTATTTTATGTTGTTGGATGTGTTGTGTAGTTTGGTGTTTTGTGTTATTGTAGTGTTTGTTGGTGTATTGTTTTGTGAATTGTGTTTTGATATCTCCTTTTTTGGAGGAGCTTGTTTTCTTCTTTGGGAGTTTTTGTATTCTCCTGTAGGGAGTTTTATTTTTTCTTGTTCGTTTTGTAGTGTGCTTTGTGGTATCTAGGATGTCTTGGGTAGTTTTCCTATTCTAACTAATGAGTCGGTTGTAATTATGTGTTTTTTTAATGAATTATGTCGTTTCGAAAAAAAAAATATTTTTAAAATAAATAAAGCTTGAAAGAAATAAATGCCAAAACGCGTAGATGGAAGACGCTTGGCAATTACTTGTGTCCCCCTTCACATTATCTACACATATAATAATACAACAACAAAAAATAAAAAAATAAAAAAATAAAAAAAAAAATATTGCCCACCTTCACACTATTTAAAAAGAAAATGTTCTTGGTTACAAACACGTTCTTATTGGAGTGACGCGGATCGTGATCGAACATTAGCTTTAGCTTAGCTTTCAATTTCCCGTACAAAAAAATAAAAAAAAAATGTCAAAATGCGTTGCCTGACTTTTGGGTGGTGATAGTTTATAGTTTTAATAGTAAAAAAAATTAGTTTTTATTTAGTTTATTTATAACTATAGTTAATTTTGAAAAAAAGTGGTGTAGTTAGTTGTTAGTGGATATATTAAAATAATATTTAAATAAAATAATTAAAGTTGATTTGATGTAAAGTAGGAGAAAAATGATTGGAAGTG